GTTCTATTAAATACATTCACAATGATTTGCAGCCATCACTGCCATCTATCTCCAGAACTCTTCTTATAAGACTGGAACTCTATAGATGTTACCCAATTTTAACAGTTAGTGGAAAATGGCCATTCTTATTTCCTCTATATTCCCACTCATTTCTCCACAACCCCAGTCATCTTGAAGCAAATTTCAACCTTAATTTCAGATTTCATCCATAAATAAATTAAAATTTGTATCTCTAACAAGAGGGATTCTTTCCCTTTTTTTGAGACGGAGTCTTGCTCTTTCGCCCAGGCTGGAGTAAAGTGATGTGGTCTCAGCTCAGTGCAACCTCTGTTCCCCTGGGTTCAAGCAATTCTCCTGCTTCAGCCTCCTGAGTAGCTGGGATTACAGGCACCCACCACCACGCCTGGCTAATTTTTGTATTTTTAGTAGAGACGGGGTTTCATCATGTTGGCCAGCTGGTCTCAAACTTCGAACCTCAGGAGATCTGCCTGCTTCGGCCTCCCGAAGTGCTAGGATTACAGGCGTGAGCCACTGCACCCGGCTGGGATTCTTTAATACCTGGTGACAATATCATCATTAGACTTTAAAAAATGAACAATGTCTTGAACATCATCAAATACCTAGTCACTTTTCATATTTTTCCGACTCCCCTTCTTTTTCTTTTTTCCTATTTAAAAATCTGGGCCGGCCACTGTGGCTCATGCCTGTAATTCCAGCACTTTGGCTGGGCTGATGCAGGCAGATCACATGAGGCCAGGAGTCCAGACCAGCATGGCCAACATGGTGAAACCCTGTCTCTGCTAAAAATACAAAAATATTTAGCCAGGCTTTGTGACTTAGGCCTGTAGTCCTAGCTACTCAGGAGGCTGAGGCCCGAGAATCACTTGATCCTTGGAGAAGGAGGTTTCAGTGAGCCAAGATCACACCACTGCACCCCATCTTCGGTGGCAGAGTGAGACTGTCTCAAAAAAAAAAGTAAAATTTAAAAAATCTGAAGTTTTTTCCTGTAACTTTGTATTTTTTTCTTTTGGAAATTTATAGGTAAGATAATCATTATCTGTCTTGCAGAGTTTCTTGGAATATACATTTTGCTGCCTTTATTCTTGAGTGCAGTTTAACATGATTCTCTCTCCCCTCTCCTGTTTTTCATGCAAATTGGTAGCTAGATCTTTTTTTCTTTTTCTGTTTTTTAAAGACATGGCTGTCATGGAAAGTAGATAAATAGTGATCTGTCTCCTATATTTCATGCATATTGGTAGCAAGAGGCATGATCAGAACTGGGTTTGATTTTTGGGGCAACAGGGAGGATACAAAAGCTAGCTGGTATGCTCATTGGTCTGTTAATTCATTAGAGATTGCTAAAATTGTGGTATTTATCTATTTTTCGTTTATTAGAAACTCATACTCATCTTCATTACCCTGAGTTACAGGTTCTATGTGAAATCCATGTTACATGCTTGATTCTAGCTTTTATTACCAGTTTTTAAAAGTGTTGATTTTTTAGCCGATTTTTAACTGTTTTTGGTTTTGAATATTTAAATATATTTAAGGTATTTACTGTTCATGTTGATTTTGGCCTCTTTGAATTGACTCCTGAGACCTTTTGCTACGCAGCCATAGCAATCTTTTTTTTCTTTTTTTTTTTTTTGAGATGGAGTTTTGCTCTCTTGCCAGACTGGAGTGCAGTGGCACGATCTCAGCTCACTGCAACCTCCGTCTCCCGGGCACAAGCGATTCCCCTGCCTCAGCCTCCCGAGTAGCTGGGACTACAGTTGCACACCACCACACCCAGCTAATTTTTTGTATTTTTAGTAGAGAAGTGGTTTCACCATGTTGGCCAGGATGGTCTTGATCTGACTTTGTAATCAGCCCGCCTCAGCCTCCCACAGTGCTAGGATTACAGGCGTGAGCCACTGCGCCCAGCCAGCCATAGCAGTCTTTACTGGTTACCTTGCTGTGCAGTTTGTCAAGATGTTCCAGGCTCTTGCACATTTCATGCCAAAGGCCTGGAGTCAACCAGTTCTTTTAAGTCCTTAGGCCACTTTATGGGGAAATGGTATTTTGTGTACCACTACCTAGACACAAGTAGTGTTTGTGTTGACTGGTTTTGTCATTGTTTTTAAGCTTTTTTAGACAGAGCTGTTTAGTTTTTATGTTTTAAGACAAAATATAGGTTTGTACTGATGCTTACAATTTAAATTCAGGCTGTATGATTTTCCTTTCTTCTACTTCCTGTCTCCTTTCTCCCATATGAAAATCTCTGAAAAAAATCTGCCTCCTGGGTTCAAGCACCTGTCCTGCTTCAACCTCATGAGTAGCTGGGATTACAGGTGCGCACCACCACACCCAGCTAATTTTTTGTATTTTTTTAGTAGAGATGGGATTTCACCATGTTGGCCAGGTTGGTCTCGACTCCTGACCTCAGGTGATCCACCTGTCTTGGCCTCCCAAAGTGCTAGGATTACAGGCATGAGGCAGTGCGCCTGGCTGCCTTTTCTCCTGTTAATTTTTTTTGACTTAATAGTGTGTTCTGGAAGTCACTTCATAATGGTGTCTAGATCATTCTTTCATTTCTTTTTTATGTTTATGATACTCAGTTGTTTGGATGTACATGTTGTATTCAACCGTTGATGGACTGTTGAGTTGTATCTGGGGCCCATAGGTTTCCTCACCTTTTACAATTAGTCAGTAGTCATGTGGGTATATTTTTTTCCCATAGCTTTATTAAGTTATTCTATAATTGGCAAATAAAATTGCATACATGCTTTTTGGGTATTGTGAACATTTAAAGTAAGCAGTTTTGAATTATATAATACATTATTATTAACTGTCATCACCCTGCTCTCCAGAACTTACTCCTACTAACAGAAACTTTATACCCTGTGAAACATTTCCCCAGTCCCTCCCTTCCCCCAGTCCCTCCCTTCCCCCATCCCTGGCTTATGGTAACCACTATTATACTGTCTCTATGAGTTCCACCTTGTTAGATTTCAAATACAAGTGAGATCAGGCAGTGTTTGTTTTTATGTGCCTGCCCTATTTCACTTAGCATTATGTCTTCTAGGTTCATTCAGGTTGTGACAAATGACAGGATTTCCTTCTTTAAGACTGAGTGCGTCTGGGCACAGTGGCTGATGCCTGTAATCCCAGCACTTTGGGAGGCCAAGGTAGGCCAAGGCAGGCGGATCACCTGAGGTCAGGAATTCAAGACCAGCCTGGCCAACATGGTGAAACCCCATCTCTAGTAAAAATATGAAAATCGAGGCTGGGCACAGTGGCTCATGCCTGTAATCCTAGCACTTTGGGAGGCTGAGGCAGGTGGATTGCCTGAGCTCAGGAGTTCCAGACCAGCCTGGGCAACACGACGAAACCCTGTCTCTACTAACAATACAAAAAAATTTGCCGGGCATGGCCGCATGCACCTGTAATTCCGGCTACTCAGGAGGCTGAGGCAGGAGAATTGCTAGAACCTGGGAGGTGGAGGTTGCAATGAGCCAAGATCACATCACTGCACTCCAGCCTGGGCGACAGAGCAAGACTGTCTAAAACAAAACAAAACAAAACTGAATGATATTCCAGTGAGTGTGTACACCATGTTTTCTCCATCCGTTCATTTGCTGTGGACACTGGGTTGTTTCCATGTGTTAGCCACTATAAGTAATGCTGCAACACAGACAGTAGTGCAGATACCCTTCAGCATACTAATTTCACTTCCTTTTGATATACATAGGATTGTTGGATCATATGGTACTTCTATTTTCAACTTTTTTTGACCCAGAGTCTCGCTCTATTGCCCAGGCTGGAGTGCAGTGACACAATTTCAGCTCACTGCAATCTCATCCTCCCAAGTAGCTGGGATTACAGGCGTATGCCACCATGCCCAGCTGATTTTTGTGTTTTTAGTAGAGACGGGGTTTCACCATGTTGGCCAGGCTGGTCTGGAACTCCCAACCTCAAGTGCTTCGCCTGCCTCGGCCTCTCAAAGTGCTGGGATTACAGGCGCGAGCCACCGTGCCTGGCCTATTTTTAACTTTTTGAGGAACCTCCATACTAGTTTCCATAATGGCTATATGAATTTACCTTCCCAGCAACAGTGTACAAAAGTTCCCTTTCTCCACATCTTCTCTAACACTTATTTTTTTTGTTACACCCATTTTAATAGATGTGAGATGCTATCTTGTGAGTTCAGCTTACATTTCTTTGATGATTAGTGATTTTTGAACATTTTTACATATGCCTGCATTTCTTTTATGAGTGAGTTTAGCATCTCTTTCATATGTTTAAGAGCCATTTGCCTTTTTTTGTTCTGTGAACGCTGTTCATTTCTCTAACCCTTTTTTCTATAGCATTGTTGGGCCTTTTCATGTCTGTTTTTACAATTCGTATATTAGAGATACTAGTGCCCTTGCCTGTGATGAGCTCCAGTTTACTATTTTGACTTAGTTTTTTGGGAGGTTTTTACTCTGCTTGTTGTTGTTTAGAGACAGGGTCTCATTCTGTTGCCCAGGCTGGAGTGTGGTGGTGTGATTGTAGCTCACTGCAACCTCCAACTCCTTGGCTCAATCAGTCCTCCCCACTCTGCCTCCCAAGCAGCTAGGACTACAGGTTGCACACCACCATGCCCAGCTTTTTTTTTTTTTTTTCTTGTAAGAGATGGGTCTCGCTGTGGTACCCAGGGTGGCCTTGAACTCCTGGGCTCATGCAATCCTACCCCCTTGGCCTCTGAAAGTGCTCGGGTTACAGGTGTGAGGCAGCACACCTGGTTATTTTGACATGTGTTTGTGGCAGGGGGGTTTTACCTTGTTTACTATGGTTTTTATACCATGAAAACATTTTATTAATGATTAATTAAAGCTGTCATTTTCTTTTCTTTTGTTCTACTGATTCTACCATAGGCAGAAATAGTATAGTCATGTAAAATATATGTTAAAATGTAAATTAAATGTATTTTTAAAAATATACACTTAATTCTTTGTTGCTATAATGTGTTCCTCTTCTAGGCAAGGATAAAAGCCATCAATACATTTTTTGCTAAGAATGGTTATCGATTAATGGATTCTAGTATCTATAGTCAGCCCATTCAAACTCAAGCACAGTATGCCTCCCCAGTCTTTATGCAGCCTGTATATAATCCTCACCAACAGTACTCGGTCTATAGTATTGTGCCTCAGTCTTGGTCTCCAAATCCTACACCTTACTTTGAAACACCACTGGTAAGTGAGATCCTTATAATAAAATATAATAATATTTTAAATTTGAGCTGAAATTTGAAGAAATCAGTTGGAGTGGGAACTCATGTTGACATTGATGACTTTTTGGCTTTTATTTTATTTTTATATTTTTTGTAGAGATGGAGTTTTGCTGTGTTGCTCAGGCTGGTCTTGAACTCCTGTGCTCAGGCAGTCCACCCGCCTTGGCCTCCCAAAATGCTAGGATTACAAGCGTGAGCCACTATGCCCGGCCACTTTTTGGCTTTTAAACAGTGATACAGATATCTAATTTTCCATACCAAATAAATGCATATGACTAAGAGTTGAGCTATTAGAGTGCATAATTTTATTCCATAAAATTTGCTGAGTGAATTGAAAGAAGAGACTGAAAAAGTTGCGTGGTTTTAAATGCATTTTAATGTTGCGAAATGTCAGACCAGAACATTCTTTATTAAGTTATGAATTATTGTTCATAAATCCAGTGGCATTTGAAGTGAATATTGCAGAAGTGAATCAGTAAAATATTTTAAGATATTTTTGGCTTGCAAAAGATAAATTCATAAGCTCATTAAGGTTCTTGTGACCCTCACACCAGGTTTTACCTTTACCATTAATATTGTTTAAACATACATTTTCTTCTAGGCTCCCTTTCCCAATGGTAGTTTTGTGAATGGCTTTAATTCGCCAGGATCTTATAAAACAAATGCTGCTGCTATGAATATGGGTCGACCATTCCAAAAAAATCGGTAAGATAAAAACCATAGCTATAACGTATTTTAAACAATTCCTAATGGATCTTAAGGCATTAATAGCAATGCTTATTGTCAGGCTCAGTAAAAAGTTTTGGTGGCTTTTTTGTTTTGTTTTTACTAAATGTATGTGAACAGTTTAATCTAGAATTCATAAAAACAGTTTGACCTTTGAGTTGGTAATGCTACTAACAGACTTGGGACTCAGATTTTTTTTTTAATAAAGAGAATAGAAAACTTACTTCATGACAGCAGTCTGACAAATCTGGTGACTAATTTCCATTTAGTATGTTAAATTGGTAGCATTTTAGAGAATTCTTTGAAGAATAAATGTTGGGATGTATGTTATTTAGGTTTTTAAAGGATTTTTGAAATGACATCCAAGAACTACAGTGCACAGCAGACAGTAGCTAACATTTATTGCACATTTAATATCACAAACTCTGTTCCTAAGGATTTTACATATTTTATCAGTTACTTTTTTCAGAACCCTTTATAGGTGTGCTTATGTCTACTTTACAGATAAGGAAATTGAGATACAAAATATTATGTCTGAGAACACACAGCTCGTAATTGGTAGAGCTAAGATTTGAACCTAGGCAGTTCAACTCCAAAGCCCGCACTTAAAGCACTATGTTCAGGATAAATTTTTTTTTTTTTTTTTTTTTTTTTGAGACGGAGTCTCGCTCTGTGGCCCAGGCTGGAGTGCAGTGGCTGGATCTCAGCTCACTGCAAGCTCCGCCTCCCGGGTTCACGCCATTCTCCTGCCTCAGCCTCCCGAGTAGCTGGGACTACAGGCGCCCGCCACCTCACCCGGCTAGTTTTTTTTTTGTATTTTTTAGTAGAGACGGGGTTTCACTGTGTTAGCCAGGATGGTCTCGATCTCCTGACCTCGTGATCCACCCGTTTCGGCCTCCCAAAGTGCTGGGATTACAGGCTTGAGCCACGGTGCCCGGCCCGTTCAGTATAAATTATTAAGAATCATAGAAACTATATGGTATCGTAACAAAGATTGACATGTACGTCTGAGGTATTTTATGTAGACATCAACAGATAATCTCAATATTTCGTGTATGTTATGGCTTCTTGTTGTTGTTTTGGGGGTAGAGACGGGGTCTGCTTATGTTGCCTGGGACTGGTCTTGAACTCCTGGGCTCAAAGCAGTCATCCCACCTTGACCTCCCAAATTGCTAGGATTACAGGCATGATACTATGTCTTTTAACAGAATATAAGTAACCAAAGAATAAAGGACTGATATATAGTCATTTTGATTTATTTAATAGTTTCACATTTGTTATTTCTCATTTGCTGTTTTGTGAGACTCTTGGTTTTTGAGGGTTTTTCCTAATAGTTTATATTCAGTGCCACTCAGTCTTTTGCCAGATTCGATCCTCCTAATTATTTCTTTTTGGAAAGGAGACCATCTGGAGTATGTTTTTCCAAGATGACTTCTAGGAACTTAGTCCTTTTTTGACAGGCTTTTCTGAAACTTGTTTTACTGGAGAAATGAGCCCCAACAGAATGAAAAAATATTCTTCTCACTGGAAACATTATGTACTGCCCTTTAATAGTCAGAGTTTTTGGACTGCTCTTGACAGACACAATTGGTTAAAGCAATTGAAGATCATTTTCAAGTGTTAGAAAAATTTTACTACTAAGAATAAACACAGGCCGAGGTCCGTGGATCACCTGAGCTCAGGAGTTCAAGAGCAGCCTAGGCAACATGATGAAACACCACCTCTAACAAAAATACAAAAATTAGCTGGGCGTGGTGTTATAGTGCACGCCTGAAGTCCCAACTACTCAGGAGGCTGAGGAATGAGAATTGCTTGAGCCTGAGAAGCGGAGGTTGCAGTGAACTGAGATTACACCACTGCACTCCAGCCTGGGCAACAGTGAGACTCTGTTATTCTCTGCCGCCATCCGCTCTCACCCTTCCCTGCTCCCCCCGTCTGAAAAATAAAGGTACTGATATTTGCAGTTGCTTGACTCTGAAATACTTTAGATAGCTCCATGGTTATTTCTTTATTGTTACCTTTTATCCGTTGTACCTTTTTGGTGACAGGGATGAAATTATAGTAAGAAAACCAGGAATGACAGTCAAGTTATCTTTACTTATAAGGAAGTATACCTATGGTTTTGAAAATACATGGTGTGTGGTACATTTTTGCATGTTACTTAAAACTACTTGTGTACAGTTCTTTTCCATATATTTGACCAATACAGGTTAGTAATTTTTAATTACAGAAATAATAAGTGAATACTTTTTCTAAAAAAGCAAATAAAGACCTTCTGGACCAGCAACCCGAATCCTTGTTTCCTTCTTGCTTCTAAAAAGTGACTACTGCCAGGCCTTTATTATTATTAATATTAACAGCCAAGGACAAAGTCATTTTTAGAGAGCCTTTTGCAATTTTTGTATTAACTTGTGACAGCCCAGTGATGATCACTATTCCTACTTAGAGAGAATAGGACTAACTTTCAGAAATCCAGGCATTTTTCTACCTTTCATACTTTATCTTTCTTTCACTTTACCTCTCTTTTCTGTCTTTTATCACTTCTTTCTTTCTTCATTCTTTCTCTCTTTTGCCTGGATTGAGATTGTAAGTCCCTCTCAGTGAAGGGTAAGATTATGAGATCTGAGGGCTATATAAATGTAGTAAGTTGTTCGTTAAGCATATTGAAATGTGTGGAAGTTGGATGAAGGACATTTTCTAAACACATGCAAATAGCATATCTATCATATCAGTTCATTTTCAGATGTAATGGGTAATATACTTTTTTTGTTTGTTTGTTTGTTTGTTTTTGGAGACAGAGTCTCGCTGTGTCACCAGGCTGTAGTGTAGTGGTGAGATCTTGGCTCACTGCAACCTCTGCTTCCTGAGTTCAAGCGATTCTCCGGCCTCAGCCTTCCGAGTAGCTGGGACTACAGGCATGTGCCAGCTAATTTTTGTATTTTTAGTAAAGATGGGGTTTTATCATGTTGGCCAGGATGGTCTCAATCTCTTGACCTCGTGATCCACCCACCTTGGCCTCCCAAAGTGCTGTACAGGCATGAGCCAGCACACCTGGCGTTTTTGTTTTTGTTGTTGTTGTTTTTATAAATAAGACGGAGTTTTGCTCTCTTTGTCCAGGTTGAAGTGCAATGGCGCGATCTCGGCTCACTGTAACCTCCGCATCCTGTGTTCAAGCGATGCTTCTGCCTTAGCCTTCCAAGTAGCTGGGATTACAGGCACATGCCACCACGCCCAGCTAGTTTTTTGTATTTTAGTAGAAACTGGGTTTCACCATGTTAGCCAGGCTGGTCTTGAACCTCAGGTGATCCACTCACCTTGGTCTCCCAGAGTGCTGGCATTATAGGCGTGAGCCACCGCACCCGGCCTAAGTATTTTTAAAATTACTTTTTGTGGCCGGTGGGGTGGCACATGCCTATATTCCCCACACATTGAGAAGCCAAGGCAGGCAGATCACTTGAGCTCATGAGTTGGAGACCAACCTAGGCAACAGAGTGAAACCCCGTCTCTACTGACAATATAAAAATTAGCCATGCATACTAGTGTGCACCTGTAGTCCCTGCTACTCAGGAAACTGAGGTAGGAGGATAGCTTCAGCCCAGGAGGTAGAGGTTGTAATGAGCCGAGATCGCACCACCTCGCTCCAGCCTAGGTGACACAGCTAGACCTTTCTCAAAAAAAAAAAAAAAAAAATTTTTTTAGGTGACATACTATTTTTATTGCTATTTAAGAAATCTAGTTTGTAATATAAAGTAATTCTATGGAAAAGTGTCACTTTATGTGAAACTTAACCCAACTTCTTTTTTTTTTTTTTTTAAAGACAGTGTTTTGCCCTGTCACCCAGGTTGTAGTACAGTAACATGATCATGGCTCACTGTAGTTTTGACTTCCCAGGCTCAATCAATTCTCCACCTCAGCCTTCCTAGTAGCTGGGACTACAGGTGCGTACCACCATGCCTAGCTAAGTTTTATATTTTTTTTTGGTAGAGATAGGATTTTGCCATGTTGCACAGGCTGGTCTCAAACTCCTAGGCTCAAATGATCCTCTCACCTCAGCCTCTTCAAGTGCTGGGGTTACAAATATGAGCCACTGAGCCCACTGTGCCCAGCCTGATAATTTTATCTTGTTTGTTTTTGTTTTTGTTTGTTTTTGTATTTTTAGTTAGAGACAGGGTTTCACCACGTTGGCCAGGATGGTCTCGATCTCTTAACCTCATGATCTACCCGCCTTGGCCTCCCAAAGTGCTGAGATTAGAGGCGTGAGCCACCACACCCAACTACTTTAAGTGTTAATAGTGGTAATTTTTTATGGTCCGTCAAGAATAAAGCAGGACAGCTAGAGATGCTGTGGGAATTTACATTTACTTGGTGGGGTTATAATTATTCAAGAAGTTTTCAATCCCTATTCCTAGAGTCAGGAATTGGCAACATGTGATTAATGTTGTTGGTTTATAACTATGAAAATAGATTACAAAAACTGGGATATATAAACTGCAAATAATGGGCCAAACATAAATCTCACTCTTCTTAATCTGTAGAGCCAGGATACTCAGTTGCTTGAGTTTTTAGGTGTTTTTGCTACTGTAGGTGTTTTGGCTACTGATTAAACTGCATTATTTTTCTATTAGTCGACCTTAGCTTCATCTGCTTGTAAGCTTTTAGGAAGTTGGATGCTTATACCCATCATCCAAGATAAAAACTCCCTTTGTTAGAAGCAAGTTGGTTTGTTTAACCACATTGCATACCTTAATTCATGCAGTCATGCCATGCTATTGGGTGCATTGCTGTATTTTCCTAGTTTGCTGTCCTACATATGGGTCTTTCGACAAATCTCATTTGGTGATGCATGCTTAGTAAGATGCTAGGTTTTGTTTGTTTGTTTGTTTTGTTTTTTGAGGCAGAGTTTTGCTCTTGTTGCCCAGGCTGGAGTGCAATGGTGTGATCTTGGCTCACTGCAACCTCCGCCTCCTGGGTTCAAAAGATTCTCCTGCCTCAGCCTCCTGAGTAGCTGGGATTTCAGGTGTGTGCCACCACGCCTGGCTAATTTTTGTATTTTTAGTAGAGATGGGTTTTCACCATGTTAGCCAGGCTGGTCTCAAACTCCTGACCTCAGGTGATCCACCCGCTTCCACCTCCTAAACTTCTAGGATTATAGGTGTGAGCCACCGTGCCCGGCTGAGGCTAGGACTTTTTAATTGTATTCCAGTATTTCTTACTGTCTTCATTATTACTCCCCTAAACAGCCTTTTTAGGCATTTTCCTCCTTTGAAAATTGAATACTACAGATGATTGTATATCTGTATGTATGTAATGTATGTATCTGTGCTTTATACATAAAATGATTACTTTTGCCCTTCCCCCACCCCCCATTTTTACTCCCATTTAGCATGGTTTTGCTTCCATTAAGAATGCATAGCGGGCTGGGCGTGGTGGCTCACACCTGTAATCCCAGCACTGTGGGAGGCTGAACTGGGTGGATCATGAGGTCAGGAGATGGAGACCATTCTGGCCAACATGGTGAAACCCCATCTCTACTAAAAATAGAAAAATTATCTAGGTGTGGAGACGCATGCCTGTAGTCCCAGCTACTCGGGAGGCTGAGGCAGGAGAATGGCGTGAACCCGGGAGGCAGAGCTTGCAGTGACCTGAGATTGCACCACTACACTCCAGCCTGGCGACAGAGCGAGACTCCGTCTCAAAAAAAAAAAAAAAATGCATGTTATAGGCCAGATGTGATGGTTCATGCCTGTAATCTCGACACTTTGGGAGGCCATGGTGGGTGGATCACGAGGTCAGGAGTTCAAGACCAGCCTGGCCAAGGTGGCAAAACCCTGTCTCTACTGAAAATACAAAATTAGCCGGGTGTGGTGGCGCATGCCTATAGTCTAGCTGCTTGGGAGGCTGAGGCAAGAGAATAGCTTGCACCTGGAAGGCGGAGGTTGCAGTGAGCTGAGATTGCACCACTGCACTCCATCCCAGGCAACAGACAGACTCCATCTCACCAAAAAAAAAAAAAGGAGAAGAATGTATTGCGTATACTCATAAGCTTAAACCTGGCTGATTTAAACATGTCGAGAGTGCATCCGATGACATTAGCTAAAATCCTAATTCTGAGTATTGAAGTAAAAGTAAGTTTCTTTCAAAGAACTTTGGATTTTCCCCCGTCTCTCCAAACACAACTTTAAAAATATATATATTATCTTAGAGATAAGGTTTTCTCTGATGACTGTGCATGAATTCAGTTGTGCAGTCATAGCTTGTTGCAGCCTCAAACTCCTGGGCCCAAGCAGTCTTCTGCCTCAGCCTTCCAAGTAGCTGGGAATAGTATAGGTATATACGGCTGCACATTTTAATTTTTTTTGCAGTGATAGGGTCTTGCTGTGTTGTCCCAGCTGGTGTCGAACCCCAGAGCTCAAGCAGTCCTCCTGCCTCAGCCTCCCAGAGTGCTAAGATTACAGGCGTGAGCCACTGCGTCCAGCCCACAACATTTTTTAATGTAAAATTTACTTCACTTTGGCCTGGCGTGGTGGCTCACGCCTGTAATCCCAGCACGTTGGGAGGCCGAGGCGGACGTATTACAAGGTCGGGAGATCGAGACCATCCTGGCTAACATGGTGAATCCCCGTCTATACTAAACAAAATACAAAAAATTAGCTGGATGTAGTGGCCAGCACCTGTAGTCCCATCTACTCGGGAGGCTGAGGCAGGAGAATGGCATGAACTCAGGAGGCGGAGCTTGCAGTAAGCCGAGATGTGCCACTGCACTCCAGCCTGGGCGACACAGCGAGACTCTGTCTCAAAAAAAAAAAAAAATTTACTTCACTTTTTAAAATAACGTCTGGAATGTAGAAGGGACTACGCTTTTACAACATAATGCTTTTCAAGTTAAATTTTTTGAAAACCCCAGTACAACAGGAGCCAGTTTTTTACCTGAGGAAAGTTGTTTTTCTGTCTTGATTTACTGCTTTATGTATATTATTTTATATTTCCTATAGTGTGAAGCCTCATTTTAGGTCATCCAGTGGTTCAGAACACTCAACAGAGGGCTCTGTATCCTTGGGGGATGGACAGTTGAACAGATCTAGTTCAAGAAACCTTCCAACTGAACGGCATAACCCTACAGTAACTGGGCATCAGGAGCAAACTTACCTTCAAAAGGAGACTTCCACTTTGCAGATGGAACAGAACGGGGACTATGGTAGGGGCAGGTAAGGAAATAAGGTACCTGAAAATCTTTGATAATAGTGTAATCATCCTGAATAATTGAAGAACATGATCTGGCAGTTGGTTTGGTTCGGTGTTAATTTAATTATTGGTATATGGTTATATTAAATAAATATGTTATTTTCAGAACATGAGTTGGTTGCTTTTTATAAAGAAATACTCATATAGAAAATGTCTCTGAATCAGAGGTTTATAAAGTTATTCTGAAGTTCCTTATAGTTCATATAGGAAAGAATAGCTTAGAAAATTAACATATCCATCTGCCTTATGGTTTTATTTCTTCCAGCTTTTAAACTATAGAAGTGGCTGGGTGCGGTGCCTCACGCCTGTAATCCCAACACTTTGGGAGGCTGAGGTGGGAGGATCATCTGAGGTCAGGAGTTCAAGACCAGCCTGGCCAACATGGTGAAACCCAGTCTCTATGAAGAAATACAAAAATTAGCAGGGCATGGTGGCAGGCACCTGTAATCCCAGCTACTCAGGAGGCTGAGGCAGGAGAATCACTTGAACCCGAACCCAGGAGGCAGAAGTTGCAGCGGGGCAAGGTTGCGCCACTGCGTTCCAGCCTGGGTGACAGAGCGAGACTGTGTCTCAAAAATATAAATAAACTATAGGGGTGAGGTTATATATTGCCAACTTGCCTAATTAAATAATAGTATGGTTCTGGTTTGAAGGGATCGCTACTAACAAATGGACTCATCTTACTTTATGGTGTGGTAGTAGGTAAAGTTTTTGGTAAATTGGCTCAAGATACCTCAGAATAATACATTATCTTTTAGTAATAGAGAAAACTAGCCCGAAATGTAGAAAGATGTTTAAATTGAAATGTATACAGCTGACCGGGCGTGGTGGCTCACGCCTGTAATCCCAGCACTTTCGGAGGTGGGGCAGGCGGATCATGAGGTCAGGAGATCGAGACCATCCTGGCCAACATGGTGAAACCCTGTCTCTACTACAAATACAGAAATTAGCTGGGCGTGGCGGCGTGTGCCTGTAATTCCAGCTACTCAAGAGTCTGAGCAGGAGAATTGCTTGAACCTGGGAGGCAGTTTGTAGTGAGCCGAGATAGCGAGATGGCGCCACTGCACTCCAGCCTGGCGACAGAGTGAGACTCTGTTTCAAAAAAAAAAAAAAGTATACGACTTTGATACAATGTATCTATCTGAAGAAACTTATGACTTGTCCCTTCTCCTCCCCCAAACTTTTTCTTATTAAAAGGAGAACTCTCTTCAGAGGTCGAAGACGACGAGAAGATGACAGGATCTCAGTAAGTTTTTAAAAACTTTTATTCAGACTTTTTTCTCTTCTGTGATTTACTATGGCATTGACTTTTGGTCTTTCCTTTCTGGGTTTTTGTTTTATTGATTGTAGTCTTCAGCAAAGGTAAATGGAGCCTAAATTTAACCCTGAAATTTTTACCACCACTACCCATATACCCACCCTCTAGCACACATGTAGTATGGAGTTTCACTTGTGTTGCTTGCTTAAAAAAATTATTTGAAGATTAATGTATTCACGTGATTTTTAAATAAAATCACGAAGTCTTTCTAACTTTCCTTACCTTTTCTTTCTTCTTTCTTTTCCAAGACACGGGATGTTACTCTTTCCCAGGGCACTGGAATTACAGGCCTGAGCCACCGTGCTTGATGCAAGATAAGGACTTCTAGGGAGAGGCAGAGGAGGAAGGGTCTTGCTATGTTGCCCAGGCTGAAGTGCAGTGGTACAATCATGGCTCACTGCAGCCTTGACATCCTAGGCTTAAGTGATCCTCCTCTAGAGATGGGGTCGGGCACTGTGGCTCATGCTTGTTATCCCAGCTCTTTGGGAGGCTGAGTCAGTTGGATCACTTGAGGCTACAGGCCCCACGCAAGTGCAAAACCAAGCAGAATGGTCAGGACATCTTAAAGCTCCAAAATACTCGCCTTTGGCCAGGCATGCCGACTCAAGTCTGTAATGTCAGCACTTTGTGAGGCTGAGATGTACAGATCACTTGAGCTCAGGAGTTGGATACCAGCCTGGGCAGCATGGTGAAACCCCATCTCTACAAAATTAAAAAAATAAGCCAGGCACCACGGTACACGCCTGTGGTCCCAGCTACTTGGGAGGCTGAAGCAGGCTGATCCCTTGAGCCCAGGAGGTGGAGGTTGCAGTGAGCCAAGATTGTGCCACTGCACTGCAGCCTGAGCAACCAAGTGAGACTTTGTCTCAAAAAATAATAAAATAATATCCTTTGACTCCATGGCCACTCCTAGGTTACACTGATACAAGGGTTGGGCTCCCAAGGCCTTAGGCAGCTCCACCCCTTTGGCTTTGCAGGGATCAACCCTGGAGGCTGCTCTTATGGGCCCACGTTGAATGCCTGTGGCTTTTCCATGCCTGTTTTGGAGTCTGGAGGACGGTGACCTTCTTCTGCCACTATGCAGTGCCCTAGTGGAGGCGTGTTGTGAGGGCCTCAGCCCCATATTTCCCCTCTGCACTGTGCCCCTGGAGCAGGTTTCTGGACTTATACCAGACTGGTAGAAGTTTCTTTCAGAGGATGCCGTACATCCTCTGAAATCGAGTCAGAGGCTCCCAAGCCAGTCTAGGAAGTTCCTCATCTTCTATCCTTTTGAGCCCTCCAGACTCTTCCACCCTCTACCTGTTAGCCAGTTCCAGTACTGCTTCCACATTTTCAGTTATCTTTTAGCAGTGCTCCACTCCTCAATACCAATTTTCTTTAAGCCATTCTCACATTGCTAGAAAGAAATACTTGAAACTGGATAATTCATAAAGAAAAGAAGTTTAATTGGCTCACAGTTCTGCAGGCTGTACAGGAAGCATGATGCAGGCATCTGCCCAGCTTCTGGGGAGGCCTTGGTAAACTTACAATCATGGCTGAAGGCAAATGGGGACCACGCAGTGAATACATGGCAGGAGGAAGAGAGAAGAAAACCGTTTTCAAAGAAGAAAATGTGTTCCATTATAACTTAGAATTGTTTTTAGGCCATACTGAACCTCTTAAATCAGTGTTGTAACTTTATTATACACAACCATGAAACTTCAGGCAACTTTTTTTTTTTTTTTTGAGGGGGAGACCAAGTTTCACTTTTGTTACCCAGGCTGGAGTACAAATGGCACGATCTCAGCTCACTGCAACCTCTGACTCCCGGGTTCAAGCGGTTCTCCTGCCTCAGCCTCCCGAGTAGCTGCGACTACAGTCACCTGCTACCACGTCTGGCTCATTTTCTGTATTTTTAGTAGAGACGGAGTTTCACCATGTTGGCCAGGCTGGTCTCAAACTCCTGACCTCAGGTGATCCACCTGCCTTGGCCTCCCAAAGTGCTGGGATTACAGGCGTGAGCCACCGTGCCTGACCAACAATTCTTTTTTTTTTTTTTTTTTTTTTTTTTTTTTTTTTTTTTTGAGACAGAGTTTTGCTCTTGTTGCCCAGGCTGGAGTACAGTGGTATGATCTCAGTTCACTGCAACCTCTGCCTCCTGGATTCAAGTGATTCTCCTGCCTCAGTCTCCCAAGTAGCTGGAATTACAGGTGCTCGCCACCATGCCTGGCTAATTTTTATATTTTAGTAGAGACATGTTTCACCATGTTGGTCAGGCTGGTCTTGAACTCTTGACCTCAGGTGATCCACCTGCCTCGGCCTCCCGAAGTGCTGGGATTATAGGCATGAACCACTACACCCAGCCCAACAGTTCTTTTTTGGCATTCCATTGCAGTAGTCCACATGACTTCTCACATGGCCCTCAACAATTTGGAATAAGAGATTAGACCCTGCATGGTGGCTCAGGCCAGGCATGGTGTCTCACGCCTGTAATCCCAGTACTTTTGGAGGCTCAGGTGGGTGGATTGCCTGAGGGTAGGATTTCAAGACCATCCTGGCCAACATGGCGAAACCCCGTCTCTACTAAAAATACAAAAATTAGCCAAGTGTGGTGGTGGGTGCCTGTAGTCCTAGCTACTTAGGAGGCTGAGTCAGGAGAATCACTTGAATCCAGGAGGCAGAGGTTGCAGTGAGCTGAGATCGTGCCACTGCACTCCAGCCTGGGCGACAGAGCGAGACTCCGTCTCAAAAAAAAAAATAGAGATTAGATTTGGGGTTTATTCAGTATGTTGTAAATGTTATGATGGAGGACTAAACATTGGGGTAAAAGAAACAGGCATGACTTCCAGTAGGTAGGTCTTGGTAGAGGAGCTCTTATGCAGGAGGGAGATCTTAGCTGGGAATAAAATTTTGGATTTGTAGGCCGGGCGCGGTGGCTCAAGCCTGTAATCCCAGCACTTTGGGAGGCCGAGATGGGCGGATCACGAGGTCAGGAGATCGAGACCATGCTGGCTAACACGGTGAAACCCCGTCTCTACTAAAAAAATACAAAAAATTAGCCGGGCGAGGTGGCGGGCGCCTGTGGTCCCAGCTACTTGGGAGGCTGAGGCGGGAGAATGGCGTGAACCCAGGAGGCGGAGCTTGCAGTGAGCTGAGATCTAGCCACTGCACTCCAGCCTGGGCGACAGAGCGAGACTTCGTCTCAAAAAAAAAAAAAATTTTTGGATTTGTAAGCCTTCACATAGTAATTGGAGTGATAAGCTCATGCAGAGTACTCTCCATAGAGTGATGAAAGTGGTCTAATATGGAACTTTGGGGAATAAAGCAGCAGTGTTGGGTTGAAAAATGAGATTTTTCAGCATACTGTTTAAAGTATTCAAGCAAAATCTGAATGGACATGGCTAATGGACAAGTGTTATCTGGGTTGTAGGCAAAGGCCTAGGCTGAAAATATTTAAAACCTACAGTTCAATATTTTGGTAAATTTACAGAGATATACAACCATCAAAAAGCGAAAAAGATTGTTTTAACAGTCACTTGCATAAAGGTAGTAGTTGAAGCCATGGATAGTGGACATCACTCAAGGAGAATATGAGAAGTAAAGAGTAGTAACCAAATGGAAACCATCAAAATTTTAGAGATGATCAGGGGAAAAAGAGCACATGTCTGTCAAATCTAAAAAACAAAAAAGGTATCACAGAAACTAAGAGGAAAATGCGCTCCCAAGGAAAGGATGGTTAACACACCAAATGCTGTAGGTCAGGAAATATGAGGTCAGGAAAAAGGGTCTGTCAGGTTTTGCATTGTTTAAGGCATTGGTGACATCTAAAATAATTTTAGTGGAGTGATGACAAAGTGGAGGAGATAAGTAAGAGGTAAGAGGCTTGTCAGAGGATATATAGGGTGTTAGGAGGGAAGCATGAGATTTTTCATATATGTTATATAGAGGAGGGATATTGTTCTCTCGAGATAGATAGATGGAGAAAGATGGTGATGGTCGGGCACAATTGCTTAAGCCTGTAATCCCAGCACTTTGAGAGGCCAAGGGGAGAGGATCACTTAAGCTCAAGTGATCAACTTTGTCACTGCTAAAAAACAAAACATAAAAATTTAGCCAGGTGTGGTGTGCACAGCTACTCTAGAGGCAAAAAAGGCAGGAGGATTGCTTGAGTCTAGGAAGTCATGGTTGTAGTGAGCTATGATTGTGTCACTGCATTTCAGCCTTGGTGACAGACCAAGACCCTGTCTCAAAAAAAAGAAAAATAGTTGATAGCAAATTTAGGTAAAGTGGGTGTTTTTGTTGAGAAGGCATAGTAAATTATGAAATGAATAGTGGAGACTGGTTAGAAGGCTTAAGGAGTATGGCAAAGTTTACAAAAGAAACAGGTGAGAGAACTGACTAAAGAAAAGTAGAATTGATAAAGACTGATGAGAGCTCAAGTGAGATGTCAAACCAAGAATTTATGTAGGGATACAGTTCTATGCATTATAGAGGTTTTATTTGCTGCTTTTTCTTTTCTGGCAGCTTTCAGCTTCAGTGACACAGGATTAGAGAATGAGATAGCCATGTGACCTATTTTGTTATTTGTTCATTTTAGAGATCTCATCCTTCAACAGCTGAATCAAAGGCTCCAACACCAAAGTTTGACTTGTTAGCCTCAAATTTTCCACCTTTACCTGGAAGTTCATCAAGAATGCCAGGTGAACTCATTTTGGAGAATAGGATGTCTGATGTTGTTAAAGGTGTCTACAAAGAAAAGGTAAACACCCAGCACCTAATATGAGTCTTACCTTACGAGACCATATTTAGGGTTTATTTTGCAGTGTTATTATTTAAAATTTTACTTGCACTTAGTGTACATTTCTATCATAGTTTTTATTTATGGCATTTTCAGCATACTTAGAGTGTTTTTTAAAAGATTCATGATAAAGCTGCACAAAGGCAATAAAATGTTTCTTGGCTTTTGCATGTCTTTTTTTTTTTTTTTTTTTTTAAAGACATGATCTCAGCTGACTGCAGCCTCTACCTCCTAGATTCAAGTGATTCTCCAGCCTCAACCTCCCAAGTAGCTGGGAGTACAGTGTACGCCGCCACGCCTAGCTAACTTTCGTATTTTTTTTTAAGTAGAGACAGGGTTTCGCCACGTTGGCCAGACTGGTCTCCAACTCCTGACCTCAAGCTATCTGCCCATCTTGGCCTCCCAAAGTGCTGGGATTATAAGCGTGAGCCACCACGCCCAGCCTTGCATGTCTTTCTGTCATTCAACTCAGCCTGGTAGAACTGATAACTGATTAATGCAAGATAAATGGAAGGTATCATTTCCATTTATGTGCCTATAATTCACTAGTGATGTAAATGAATTCTTTCAAATAATGGAAAGTAGATGTCTAGAGGCTGAGATACATCATCCTATGATTATTTGGTGTGTAGACCTCTCCATATCAGAAATCCTCATGTCTCACAAGTTTTTCTCATTTTCTACTTTATTCTAATTCATTTTTTTTTTTTTTTTAATTATAACAGTACATGTCTATAGTATATCTAGGCTTTTAATGAAAAGCCTGCAACTACTTTCAGCTCCTTAGCTTTTTCTGTATTTTTTTTTCCTTTTGAGCGGAGTCTTGCTCTATAACCTAGGCTGGAATGCAGTGGCGGATCTCTACTCACTACAACCTCTGCCTCCCGGGTTCAAGCGATTCTCCTGCCTCAGCCTCTTGAGTAGCTGGGATTATAGGCATGAGACACCACACCTAGCTAATTTTTGTATTTTTAGTAGAGACGGGGTTTCTCCATGTTGGCCAGGCTGGTCTCAAACTCCTGACCTCGCAATCTGCCCTCCTCGGTCTCCTAAAGTGCTGGGATTACAGGCGTGAGCCACTGTACCCAGCCCTGTATTTCTAATTAACATCTTTTTTTTTTTTTTTTTTTTTTGAGACGAGTCTTGCTCTGTAGCCCAGGTTGGAGTACAGTGGTGTGATACCTGCTCACTGCAAGCTCCGCCTCCTGGGTTCACGCCATTCTCTCGCCTCAGCCTCCCAAGTAGCTGGGACTACAGGTGCCTGCTGCCACACCCGGCTAATTTTGTTTTTGTATTTTTAGTAGAGATGGGGTTTCACAGTGTTAGCCAGGATGGTCTTGATCTCCTGAACTTGTGATCCACCCGTCTCGGCCTCCCAGAATGCTGGGATTACAGGCGTGAGTCACTGCGCCCTGCCTAATTAACATCTTTTTATTGTAACCTCTTGGCTTTTCCATTTTCAGCAGTGTCTGTTAGCTTCACATTCTGAAGGTAAAGATTTAGGTCTCTTAAACCAAGGTACTCACACTTTTCCTATCCTCCTGATACATTGTACTTCATTATATATAAGATGTCATCAATTATAAGGCACCCATTATTTTAGTGTCTCTAAGAAAGTAAAAAATGTTGCTAGTTATGCTAGAACACCCATCCTTTGTAAGTCACATTTCAGTATTACATATTTTTTTCATGGCTGAGACTCAAACATAATATACTATGATTGTTTCTCCTTTTGTGTGCACTCTCAGTGTCCTACTGCATAGCTGTGTTCTTGGGCCTTCTCTTTACCATCACCCTGGCAATTTTCCTTACTCTCCTTTATCTATCCCCTTTTTTTCCTCACTCTTTTTTCACTTTTCCATGTTAGAGTGGTTCATATCTTCCATGGTCATGAAGTATAAATTTCTTGCATTCTGAAAATGTTTTTCTGCTCTCACGTTGATCAGTAGATTATTTCTGTATTGGATTCTCTATTAGAAATCATTTTCCCTTGGGATTTTGAAGATACTATTCCACTGTCTTGTTTCTTTAAAAAAAAATTGTAACATGTAGTAGTTATTTCATAATAACTAAGATACACTTTTTTCCCCCATGTTTTATCACCTTCCAAAATCAGACTAAAAATTATTTTTTAAAAAATGTAAAGGCTGGGCACAGTGGCTCATGCCTGTAATCCCCGCACTTTGGGAGGCCGAGGCAAGCGGATCACGAGGTCAGGAGTTTGAAACCAACCTGGCCAACATGGTGAAACCCCGTCTCTACTAAAATTAGAAAAATTAGCTGGGCGTGGCACGCTCCTGTAGTCCCAGCTACTCAGGAGGCTGAGGCAGGAGAATCGCTTGAACCTAGGAGATGGAGGTTGCAGTGAGCCGAGATCACACCGTTGCACTCTAGCCTGGGTGACAAGAGCAAGACTCTGTCTCAAAAAAAAGAAAAAAATTAAATATCCAGTCACATTGGTTCATACCTGTAATTCCAGCACTTTGGGGGTCCAAGGTGAACGGATTGCTTGAGCCCAGGAGTTCAGGACCAACCTGGGCAACATAGAGAGGTCCCGTCTGTACATAAAGGGTAAAAAAAAAAAACATAGCTGGGCATGGTGACGCATGCCTGTAGTCCTTGCTACTTGGGAAGCTGAGACAAGAGGATTACTTTAGCCCAGGAGATCAAAGCTATGATGAGCTTAAGTGCAGTATTTTTATTTTCTTCTCATCTTAAGGTCTGCTTCTATCCAGTGGTTTTATTTTTATTTTTATTTTTTCTTATTGGTACATAAAATAATGGTGTGGTTTACCAATAATGGCGTCTCAGATTTCAGAAGATGATACACAAACATACATATATACTTTTTTTTTTTTTTTTTGAGTCGGAGTTTCACTCTTGTTGCCCAGCCTGGAGTGCAATGGCGCGATCTCGGCTCACTGCAACCTCCACCTCCCGGGTTCAAGCGATTCTCCTGCTTCAGCCTCCTAAGTAGCTGGGATTACAGGCACTTGCCACCGTGCCCAGCTAATTTTTGTGTTTTTAATAGAGATGGGGTTTCACCATGTTGGCCAGGCTGGTCTTAAACTCCTGACCTCAGGTGAGCCACTGCTCCCGGCCATATATACATTTTTAAAGAATAATCATGAAGTGTACGTCTGCTTATAACCCCAACACACAATTGTAGCCGATAAACATCCCTAGTATCTTAGCAGTGACATGTGTGTCTCCTCCCTATTTATAGTCATTCTGCCCCACTCTTCCCCTTTAGATATAAACATTATTCTGACTTTGTGATAGCAATTTTCTTGCCTTCATAGTTTTGTCATTCTGCATTGACAGAATTTTTCTGTGAAGGGCCAGATACTCATAGTAAATATTTTTGGCTTTGTAGGCCATGTATTGTCACATATTCTTTGTTTTTACAACCCTTTAATAACTTAAAAACCAAAGGTTTTTTGGTGTTTGGCTCATGCCTGGTGGCTCATGCCTGTAATCCCAGCACTTCAGGAGGATCACTTGAGGCCAAGAGTTTGAGACCAGCCTAGTCAACATAGGGAGACCCCCATCTCTAAAAAATAATAATAATAATATAAAAATAATAATTATAATTTACAAACCATTCTTAGCTTGTAAGCCATACCAAAACAAGTTATAGGGTGGGTTTGGCCTTGCAGATCTTAGTTTACCAACCCCTGCCCTAGGTGATAAAACGGGGTGCCTGTTTTTGAAAAGGTTACAAAGAATTGCACAGTATATATTCTTCTTTTCTTTCATTCTGTATGGTTTGAGATTGATCACTGTTAATACAGATGACTATTGTTCATTTTGAACTATTATGTGATATTCTATTGTAGGAAGTAAAATATTTATTCATTGTACTGTTAATGGACATTTTGCCATTATAAATCTTCATGTGAGCAAGAACTTTTCTAGGATTTATACATCAGCTTGTGTTCTTTTCAAATTTTAAAGTCTTTCAAGTGTTTTTTTGAGATGGAGTCTCTCTCTGTCACCCAGGCTGGAGTGTAGTGGCATGATCTCGGCTTATGCAACCTCCACTGCCAGGGTTCAAGCGATTCTTGTGCCTCAGCCTCCCGAGTGGTGAATACAGGCATGCGCCACCATGCCCGGCTAATTTTTGTATTTTCAGTAGAGATGGGGTTTCTGCCTTGTTGGCCAGGCTGGTCTCGAACTTCTGACCTCAGATGATCCACCCACCTCATCCTCCCAATGTGCTGGGTTTACAGGCGTGAGCCACTGCGCATGGTCAGTCTTTCAGGTTTTTAAGAAATAGATTCATATATTTTTTTACATATTCTGCATATTAATCCTTTGTCAGTTACATGTAGTACAAATAATCTTTCACTTCTGTGGTTTCTTTTCCATCTTCAGTGCCTATAGGTTGAAACAAGTTCTTAATTTTAATATGGTCCTATTAGTCTTTTCTTTATAATTTGCTGTTTTTATTTCATGCTTAGGAAATGATCTAGCTTCCAGAGATTCTTTTGAGAACCCTAAGGGTGCTGATTCCTGATATCTGACATGATTTTTTCCCCCTTATCTGGAGGTTTTTAGGGTCTTTTATTGATCCTTGGTATTCTGCGAAATTTCGTGCTATGTGCTTTGGTATGGCTCTTTTTTTTGTCACAATTCTTTTTGTTTGTTTTTTGTGGAGATAGAGTCTGCCTCCATTGCTTAAGCTGGAGTACAGTGGTATGATCTTGGCCTACTGCAGCTTCCACCTCCTGGGTTCAGTCGATTCTCCTGCCTCAACCTCCCCAGAAGCTGGAATTACAGGCATGCGCCACCATGCCCGGCTAAGTTTTGTATTTTTAGTAGAGACCATGTTTCTCCATGTCGGTGAGGCTGGTCTCGAACTCCCGACCTCAGGTGATCAGCCCACCTCGCCAGCCTCCCAAAGTGTTGGGATTACAGGTGTGAGCCACTGCAACCAGCCTTTACTTAAACCTCTTTTTGAGACAGGGTCTCACTTTATCACCCAGGGTAGAGGACAGTGCCGTGATCTTGGCTCATTGCAGGCTTCATCTCTCAATGTTCAAGGAGTCCTTCTGCCTCAGCACCCCCAAGTAGCTTGGGTTACAGTTGCAGGCCACCATGCTTGGCTAGTTTTTGTAGAGATAGGGCTTTGCCATGTTGCTGAGGCTGCTCTTGAACTCCTGGGCTCAAGTGCTCTGCCCACCTTGGCCTCCCAAAGTGCTAGGATTACAGGGGCCAGCCACTGTACCCGGCCTTTAAACCTCTTTTTTTTTTTTTTTTAAAGTCTTGCTCTGTCACCCAGGCTAGAGTGCAGTGGCACGATCTCGGCTTACTGCAACCTCTGCCCCCTGGGTTCAAACAATTCTCTTGCCTCAACCTCCCGAGGAGCTTTGACTATAGGCGTGGCGGCACACGCCCGGCTAATTTTTTTGTGTTTTTAGTAGAGATGGGGTTTTACCATTTTGGCCAGGCAGGTGTCAAACTCCTTTCCTCAGTGATCCGCCTGCCTTGGTTTCACAAAGTACTGGGATTACAGGCCTGAGCCACCGTGTCTGGACTAAACCTCGTTTTTTATCTTTGTTGTTACTATGTTTTCTACCAAGTTTTTCTGAATGTTACTTTCTAAATCTATTGAAAGTTTTATTTCACCCATCAGTTTTAATTTCTAGGGCTCTTTTCTAAATTCTATGCCAGCGGTATAAACACACATAACAGCATTTACCATCTTAACCATTTTAAATGTGTACAGTTTTGTAGTGTTAAGTACCTTCACACGGTTGTGCAGCTAAGCTCCAGAACTTACTATCTTTCAGAACTAAAACTCTATACCTATTAAACCATTCCCTCTTCCTCCCTTCTCTTATCCTTCGGCAGCCACTATTCTACTTTCTGTCTCTAAATTGACTACTCTTAGAAATTCATATAAGTAGAATCATACAGTATTTGTCTGTTTGTCTGTGATTTTACTTAGCATCCTCAACGTTCACTCATGTTGAGCATGAGTCAAGATTTCATTAATTTTTTAGTGCAGCCTACAAACACTTTTTTTTTGAGACATGGTCTTGCTCTTTTCCCAGGAGGGAGTGCAGTGGCACTATCATGGTTCACTGTAGCAGCTTCAACCTCCCAGACTCATGTAATCTTCTCAAGTGGGAGGGACAACAGGTGGACACCCCCCTACCCTAGCTAAATATTTTACTTTATTTTGTAGAGACAAGATCTTGCTATGTTGCCCAAGGTTGGTCTTGAACTCCTGGACTCCCAAAGTGCTGGGATTATAGTCGTGAGCCCCTGCACCCACCCCTATATTTAACTTTTTTTTTGTCGGGGGACGGAGTCTCGCTCTGTAGCCCAGGCTGGAGTGCAGTGCTGCAATCTCGGCTCACTGCAATCTCCGCCTCCCAGGTCCCAGTTCAAGCAATTCTCTTGCCTCAGCCTCCCAAGTAGCTGGGATTACAGGCATGCACCACTATGCCCAGCTAATTTTTGTATTTTTAGTAGAGACAGGGTTTCACCATGTTTGCCAGGCTGGCCTTGAACTCCTGACCTTGCGATCCACCCGCCTCAGCCTCCGAAAGTGCTGGGATTACAGGCATGAGCCACTGCGCCTGGCCTATTTAACTTTTTAAGGATCTGCCACATTGCTTTCTAAAGCAGTGCATCATTTTACATTGCCATCCTCTATGTTTGAGTTTTAATGTTTCCATATCATCACCATTTGTTAATGTTTGTCTTTTTTTTTATTATAACCATCCTTGTGGGTATGAAGTGATTTTTCACCATTGTTTAGCTTTGCATTTTATGATGACTAATGATGTTGACTATCTTCTCTTGTGCTTATTACATCTTCTTTGGAAAAAGGTCTAAGTGTAATTTTGAAAAATCTTTTTACTTTAAGGATAATGAAGAGCTGAGAGTTAGTTGCCCAGTGCCTGCAGATGAGCAGACAGAATGCACTTCTGCCCAACAACTCAATATGAGTTCCAGTTCTCCATGTGCTGCTGAGCTTACTGCATTAAGGTACAAGTTACAGTATAGAAGATCTTCAACATTAAATTACTTTTTCTGGTCGGGCGCGGTGGCTCTCGCCTGTAATCCCAGCACTTTGGGAGGCCGAGGCAGGTGGATCACCTGAGGTCAGGAGTTCAAGACCAGTCTGGCCAACATGGTGAAACCCCGTCTCTACTAAAACAAAAATCAGCCGGGCGTGGTGGCAGGCGCTTGTAATCCCAGCTACTCGGGAGGCTGAGGTTGGAGAATTGCTTGAACCCAGGAGGCAGAGAGGTTGCAGTAAGCCAAGAGTATGCCACTGCACTCCAGCCTGGGTGACAGAGTGAGACTCCGTCTCAAAAAAAAAAAAAATTACTTTTTCTTCTGATTAGTTGCTAAACTGTTCCATAGCTATTCTGAGTCTAATTGCAAGCTCTTTTTTCCTTAGCACAACTCAGCAAGAAAAGGATCTAATAGAGGATTCCTCTGTTCAGAAGGATGGTCTCAACCAGACAACTATGCCAGTTTCTCCTCCAAGTACTACAAAGCCATCGAGGGCAAGTACTGCTTCACCATGTAATAATAACATAAATGCAGCTATAGCTGTGGCTCTACAGGTAACTTGAAGATTTTAGTTTATGTTAAATAAAAAAAACCAATAGATTAGATAATTTTTTTTTCACATAACACTTTGTTAGAACAGAGTCATTTGGAAGTAGCCCAAGTTGGGGCTGACTATCAGAAAGAAGCTTAAGGAGTTTTAAGGTCACTGCAAAGAGATGGAAAGGTTTAGGTGGTTTTTTTTGGTTTTTTTTGTTTTTTGTTTTTTTCTTTTTTGAGACGGAGTCTGTGCTCTGTCACCCAGGCTGGAGTGCAGTGGCAGCATCTCGGCTCACTGCAGGCTCCGCCTCCTGGGTTCATGCCATTCTCCTGCCTCAGCCTTCCAAGTAGCTGGGACTACAGGCACCCACCACCATGCCTGGCTAATTTTTTGTGTTTTCAGTAGAGACGGGGTTTCACATTGTTAGCCAGAATGGTCTCAATCTCCTGACCTCGTGATCTCCCTGTCTCAGCCTCCCAAAGTGCTGGGATTACAGGCATGAGCCACTGGGCCTGGCCCATTCTGTTTCTTTTGATTGCTTTTTTTCTGTTCATATGGTTAAGTGAATCTTCTTCCTTACCCACATTAGGATGAATTTATCATTTGGGGGCTAACATAAAGTGGCCTTGTGCCTCTTGATGTTCTTTTGGTTGTATATGTGATACTTAACAGTCTATAAGTGGCCATTGAGAGGCCACTCCCACTTATTCAAGTTCCAGGATTGTTTTATAGTTAAATAATTGGGAAAATACAGAAAAGCAGAATAAAACAAAATTTATCTATAATCCCTAGCATTTTAGTACAGCACTTTTAAAAATAGATTTACAGGCCAGGTGCGGTGGCTCAAGCCTGTAATCCCAGCACTTTGGGAGGCCGAGACGGGCGGATCACGAGGTCAGGAGATCGAGACCATCCTGGCTAACACGGTGAAACCCCGTCTCTACTAAAAAAAATACAAAAAACTAGCCGGGCGAGGTGGCGGGCGCCTGTAGTCCCAGCTACTCGGGAGGCTGAGGCAGGAGAATGGCGTGAACCCAGGAGGCGGAGCTTGCAGCGAGCTGAGATCCGGCCACTGCACTCCAGCCTGGGCAACAGAGCGAGACTCCGTCTCAAAAAAAAAAAAAAAAAACAAATAAAAATAGATTTACAAGACTATCTAATGATAGCAATAATACTAAAATGATAGCTACCATTTGAATGCTTACTGTATATTATTAGGACTAGTGCTGAAGACTTTACATGCTTTGTTCTGTTCTCAAAATACCTCTATTCCACCTTTTTCAGTTGAGGTAATTAAGACATTTAATGAATCTTTTTATACCATTGGTTTCTAATTGCTCTGCTGGGATTCTTTTGGAATCTTTCTTGGGGTTCTTTGTAGCAAGGAAAAGGAACAGAAAGAACCATTTTATTTCATCATATGGCTATACCATATTAATCTAATCTGTCCTTTCTTGTTAGGCATTTAGGTCATTTCCATCATTATAAACAATGCTGACGTGAACATCCCTCAGTTAAATTCCTCAAGCAAAATTATTGTATAATAAATAAAGATTGTACCAGTGTACTCTAGGCAGTATATATGAGAGTGCTTGTTACCCTTTTCTGGAAGATAATTTGTGGTTTTCTTGTGGTTAACACAATCATTTTTGTACTTTATAATTTAGAGAATGTGTACCATAAATGTTCTTTTTTTATCATCACTTCAAAGGAGCCCCGAAAGTTAAGTTATGCTGAAGTGTGCCAGAAGCCCCCTAAAGAGCCATCTTCAGTTCTTGTGCAGCCACTACGGGAACTTCGCTCTAATGTGGTGTCTCCCACCAAAAATGAAGACAGTGGAGCTCCTGAGAACTCCGTTGAGAAACCACATGAGAAGCCAGAAGCAAGGGCTAGTAAGGATTATTCTGGCTTCCGAGGCAATACAATCCCCAGGGGAGCAGCTGGAAAAATCAGGGAACAGAGACGCCAGTTTAGCCATAGGGCTATACCTCAGGGAGTGACTCGACGTAATGGCAAAGAGCAATATGTGCCACCCAGATCACCAAAGTAAAAAACAACAAAACTATTCAAAAACTTCTCTCTCTTCCCATTAAACTTGAGCTGTGGCTATATTGAACTGTTTTGGAGGGGAGGGGGTAGCCAGGAAGGGAACAGGAGAAAGTACATCCTTAAATCATTATGGATTTTGGAGTTGTGAGTGATAGGATCCCAAAATTCATCTCTAATGTGATTTTTAAATGCTGGAGGATTCCAATCAATATAAATATATATATATATATATACACACATATATAAAATATAATTTTTCTATTTTTGTTTTTGGTTTTAATTTGCAGAGATTTGCTGCCAGGAATCAATTTTGAGGGTTCAGATTTAGCTTGGAGGAAAAAAAAAATTATACATCCTTCAGTATAGGAGATGAGGGAATGAGAGAAAATATTTTTTGAAGAAGCATTTCTGTAAAATTAGAAAATACTTTTTTTAATCTATTTAAAGTTTGGCTTGAAGAATGCCATTTCTAACTATATGGCCTTGTATTGCAAAGCAGATCAGTGGCTGGGGTGCCTGTTGTGGGTGTGAGTGTGTACAAGAGCGATTGAAGCCAAATCTGTTGTCATGTTAGTAAATGATTTGAAAACTGAATGTAATACTTGAGTAGGTTTTTTTTTTTTCTAGTTTGAAATTTAGTCTCTGTCTTTTTGACCTTACTAATACTTCATTCAACAAGTTGTAAAATGATTGTACCTGGAGATGTGACTACCAATCAGTTTAATACTCAAGGAAAGGGGGTTATTAAAAAAATTGAAAATTTCATCTTGGACCTCAGTGCATAGGCCAAATGGATTTCAGAGGTTTAAACTTCCCTGTGATTCCCCCCCAACACCCCCAAAATGAGAAACAAACATTTTTTTCTTACTCCATATGTTACTCTCTGTTCTTTGACTGCCCACTCAAAAAAGCAGAATAACCAACTACCTACTGAAGTGTATGTTTGTAATTGCTTTGACCAGTCTAGTCAAATCATATAAATTGTTCTAAATTTCAGAATTGAACGTTGAAGTATTTACTCTTCTGTTCACACATTTAGAATTTTAGCTCCCAAGATGGTAGGGCAGACTGACCCTACAGTAATTTATTTGTTGTTAATGTTAAAGATGAAACATAGTAACTGACTCTTAAGTGTTAAATAATGTAGACGTAAAATATTTTTTTAAAAAAGGCTTAATTTAGAGGGGTACTTATTTCTGTTTACAGTGTATTTGTCACCTTCCTTTCCTCCTCTTCTCCCCCCACACCCAAAAAGTACAGTTTGGAATTCACTGAAACAATACCAACAAGTCATGAGATTTTTTAGTAAAGATGAGAAAGATGGTTGAAGAAAATTAATGCATAATTTCTCAGTGAATAAAGTTGTAGCTCTCATATACTAAATAGACAAGTTTACATGGTGTTATTTAGAAAATGGCTAAAATATTAAAAACTGTGTTGTGTTAATCTGTTTTAAGTCATACTATGTTCAGAGTTCTATGTAAGGTGGGTTTTATTTTTCTTTTTTTTTTTTTTTTTTTTTTTTTTTGAGACGGAGTCTCGCTGTGTCTCCCAGGCTGGAGTGCAGTGGCGCGATCTCGGCTCACTGCAAGCTCTGCCTCCCGGGTTCACGCCATTCTCCCGCCTCAGCCTCCGAGTAGCTGGGACTACAGGCGCCCGCCACTTCGCCCGGCTAGTTTTTTGTATTTTTTAGTAGAGACGGGGTTTCACCGTATTAGCCAGGATGGTCTTGATCTCCTGACCTCGTGATCCGCCCGTCTCGGCCTCCCAAAGTGCTGGGATTACAGGCTTGAGCCACCGCGCCCGGCCCTATTTTTCTTTTAAGGATAGTTTGTAATAGTAAGAACTGTCCCATATGTTAGTAAATTACATATGTACAAATTGAAACTGTAAATTGTGAACACTGGAAAGCACCATTGTGACATAGAGTAAACATCTTAGTAATATATTAAAGTGAATGTAAATGGTGGTTAAAATTACATTACTGTGAAATTCATCTTCCAACTCTAAGTTAAGCTTTGGAGATATATATTAGTGGTTAACTGTTAAGAGCTTTGAAAACACTGCACATATCTGTACAAGCCAGAATTATTATTTCTTTGACTTATTATTAGCTTGGCAGTTGCTTTTGATTTGGTTGTTTTATGACATGGTATACTGTATTTACTCAGTTTGAAACTATTCATTTCTACACACTATTTTTAAAAATTGCCTACTAGGTGAAACATAACAATAAAACTACCTGTGCTGAAATTTGGGGGAAGTTTAGGTCCTTTAAAAAAATATATTAATCATTGACTACATCTATGATAAAAGTGCTTATTTTGGTTTACTAAAATAATGCAGTTGGTGGAAATGATAAACATTTTAAGTGTTAACATCCTTTAACTGCATTGGATTTCAGAGAATAAACATTTTGTAAAAATCACTTGGCAAGGATTATAAACTTAATTACTGCACTTAAAATGAAACATTACTTTTTTTAAACAATGTGTCACAAATGTAGGCCTGTATTACTTGTATGCTTGTGTGACTTACTGTTAGTCCACCAACTTCTAAAAATTTAAAGGCTGTAATTGAAATACAAGAAAAGAGCCTTCTTTTAGAAGAAAGCAGGTGTATTTTTGCTTTTTCTTAACGTTATTGAAAGTAGAAATTTAATTTGAAGATATAACCTTTAAAAATTTCTTATTAAGACAATGTTTTTAATTTAATTTGCCTCATTACATCTAGTAGTTCCCATTTGATGGGATGTATAGGGAAGAGAGAGAGAGAGTGAGTGTGTATGTATGTGTGTGTAATATTTATATATATTCACAGTATGTATTTAGCATTTATTTTATTACAGCAGATTTAAAATTTGTATCTAAATAATGCCTGTGAGTTGTGTGAAGCTGTTGGCTTTTTTTCCAACATTACTTTGTAACTAATGAGGGTGGATGTTCATTGTAGTTTATTTATTTGGTTCTTTAGATGGAGGAATTTAAATAATCAAATTTTTCTCTTCACCCTTATGACTTGACATTTCCTTGGTCTGTTGGAGGCTAAAAGTAGGTATAAATGATACTGGATGTTTGGTATAGTGATACTCTGCTATAGTTCTTACTGCATGAAGAGAACAAGAGTCACAAAAGTTCACCACCTTGCACTTCATAGAGAAGGTACATAGAGACATTGCAAAACCTGTCTCCATTTGCTGTCCTGATAATTAAGGTTTTCATAATACCTGGGGCCTGTCTCTGAGTAATTTTAATTTTGCCAAATACACTGATATTTTAAAAAGTGATCCATCTAAATTTTTTTCAACTGGATTTTGAGGAAGGTAAGAGCTTTCGATAATAAGGGTTTGTTGTGGTAGTTGTCTTATGTGCTGAATTTGCAGATGATCAGATGCTATGCAGAATTATGATTTATTTTTGTTTCCTAAAATTAAGATAGCTTGAATATTATTTCACATTCCTTTTTCCTTTTTAAATAAACAGGTTTGCTTTGGAAAGGCTTAATGATGGAATGTTAGCATCTTCACTATGGTAAAGGAGAACAAAAAGAATGTTGCTGGAACATAAAATAGTATTTAAAAGTTAATGAACACTTCTAGTTTTGTTAGTTATGGCCTTAATAATTAGTCTCTTGGCTTAAATGTCCACTGGTTTTACTTTGACACAGTTGAACAACACTGGGGTTAAGTCTCTGGTATTTAGGCTGGCAATATATTAACCATATTTTTAAAGTACCTTTTTTTTTTTTTTTTTTTTTTTTTACGGAAAAGATAAAACTCAAAAGAGAACAGTGTATTCCTTTTGAGGGACTTTTATAAATTATTAACTATAATATATGATGGATTTTTTCCTAATTTTTTATATTTCCTTACAATTTTGGTGGCCATTAATTTAACTTTAGGCTTTTGGTCATATGCTAGTCTGAGCTTCCAAAAAGATACATACATGTTTCACTTTTCATTAGCTGAATGAGGGTATTTTAAGAAGTTGAAAGAGAATTTATTTTCAAGTTGTGAGTAAATTCTCTTTTGAAATTCACCTGATTATTAAATAACTTAAAGTTTATTTTTAAAAGCTGACAACTTTTTATGAATCTTTGAGCTAACAGTTCCTAAAAGCGTAATTCAGATATTAATGGGCTGTGTATTAAATGGTTTTATTTCCAGTTTTGCAGCATAGAACACTGTTGAAATATCCACGTCAACTTGATTTTTTTAACCTAATTCGGGTGTCTTTGACATCTCTTAAATGTTGGGGGTGGGGGTCAGAGCCAGTTATCCGGCTTCTGTTTTGTCAATTGCTTAGATTTGTTCCTGTTGTCAAAACTGTTGCCCCCAAAATTGGTGTGACACATGCTCATGCATAAAATGTTAAAATGTATTTGTATTTGTTTTCAACATCGCCAAGGTGCTATGGGAAATTAAAGTAACAAAATTAGAAAAAAAATAAAGTTATTAAAAAGCAGGACTGGTTTCCTTTTCTCTAGGTGGTGTATGTCTAATGACTACTTCTGTCTGCCTTTCAATATTATATGTTGCCCTCGCTAATGCTATTATTACTGTCTAAGCTGTTTTTTGGATGATGAGGGCAATGGGAAGTAATGATGTTTCACGTAAAACAAGGGCAGAGAGACAAGATACAGCTTTATGATCCTGGAGTTTTCTTTTAGTATCAGAAGCAGTGATTAAAGGGGGAAAAAACTCTGGGCACGGTGGCTCTCGCCTGAAATCCCAGCACTTTGGGAGGTCAAGGTGGGCGGATCACCTGGGGCCAGGAGTTCAAGACCAGACTGGTCAACATGGTGAAACCCCGTCTTTATTAAACATACAAAAATTAGCTGGAGGTGGTGGTGGGCACCTGTAATCCCAGCTACTCGGGAAGCTTAGGCAGGAGAATCGCTTGAACCTGGAAGGTGGACATTGCAGTGAGCCAAGATCACGCCATTGCACTCTATCCTGGGTGATTAATGAAAGTCCATCTCAAAGGGGAAAAAAGACTGGGTGCAGTGGCCATGTAATCCCAGGGCATTTCGGGGGCCGAGGTGCATGGATCGCCAGAGACTGAGTTCAAGACCAGCCTGGGCAATATAACAACCTAGAGGGTGAGGCAGGAGGATTGCCCAAGCCCAGGAGTTCAAGGCTGCAGTGAGCTGATAGTGTCAGTGCACTGAACTCTGGGAAAAAGAGTAAGACTCCATCTCCAAAAATATATATATATATAGTGGTTGGGGGACAGGAATCATGGTAGTGTGTAGCTTAAAAACTACCTTCATGGAACAGGTTGTGGCTTGATTTGAGTATGTGCATGTCAAGCCCAGCTAGAGGGTATTTGGGGCTTTTCAGAGGGAAAATTGACCAGGAAATTTAAATGAGGGGATTTTTTTTGTTTGTTTCGTTTGAGACTGAGTCTTGCTCTTGTTGCCCAGGCTGGAGTGCAACCTCAGCTTCGTGGCCCGAGTTTTGATTTTTTTTGAATGCTTCATTTTAAAGCAAAATGGAAAAGCTGAGTCAATCTCTGGCTTTTTAACAGGTATCTGTAAATTATTGTGACACCTTTTACTGAACATATATTGCTAAAAAATAGTGGAGTGGCCAGGCGTGGTGGCTGACGCCTGTAATCCTAGCACCTTGGGAAGCCGAGATGGGTGGATCAACTGAGGTCAGGAGTTCGAGACTAGCCTGACCAACATGATGAAATCCCGTCTCTACTAAAAATACAAAAATGAGCCCAGCATGGTGGCTCATGTCTGTAATCCCAGCTACTCTGGAGTCTTAGGCACGAGAATCGCCAGGAGGTGGAGGTTGCAATGAGCAGAGATTGAGCCACTGCACTCCAGCCTGGGCGACAAGAGTGACTGTCTCAAAAAACAAAAAAACAGGCCGGGCGCGGTGGCTCAAGCCTGTAATCCCAGCACTTTGGGAGGCCGAGGCGGGCGGATCACAAGGTCAGGAGATCGAGACCACAGTGAAACCCCGTCTCTACTAAAAATACAAAAAATTAGCCGGGCGCGGTGGCGGGCGCCTGTAGTCCCAGCTACTCAGGAGGCTGAGGCAGGAGAATGGCGGGAACCCGGGAGGCGGAGCGTGCAGTGAGCCGAGAGCGCGCCACTGCACTCCAGCCTGGGCAACAGCGTGAGACTCCGTCTCAAAAAAAAAAAAAAACAAAAAAACAAAAAAACAAAACATGGAGGGGTGTTTCATGGCTATTATGCCACAGTTTATTCTTGAATTAAGTGAATCTTTTTTTAATGGTAGAACTTCTTTGTGGGTTGGTTTTTTGTTGTTTTTTTTTTAAGATAGAGTCACTCTCGCCCAGTCTGGAGTACAGAGGTGGGATCTCAGCTTGCTGCAACCTCCGCCTCCCAGGTGCAAGCGATTCCCTTGC